CCCCAAAACCCCAAAACCCCAAAACCCCAAAACCCCGTGAAATTTAACGGAAAGTGAAATAAATTTACAGTTAAATTTTTGCAAAATCATGTCTTTCTATAGCCCAACACAGTCTTTTTCTTCTCAGAGAGAAGTATTGCAGCCGACCCAAATGAATAATTCTAGGGCTGGGTCTATTCTAATGGCAAAGAACACAGAGCCAATTGATTATGAGTTTACAGTCAAGGTGCCCACCATGACTTTATCTTCATCTTGTGAAGTGAGCCATAAAATGAAGCTTAGGTTCCATACCCAGAGCAATATTCATGATGTTATCTTGGAAGCTGATGAAATAAACCCAACTCCTGAGATTGGAACCGAGATAGTATTCTATTCAAAGGTTAAAATTCATACTATCATGAGTTTTGAGAATAAAATTCCTCAAGAAAAGATTGTTACTATTACTCTTCAGGATTATTCAAAGAAAGATCCAACAGACATATGCCAAACAAAGTATAATCTGGCTGAAGCTATCATTGAATGAATGCAGGATAGAATCTCAACAGTGGTTGAAGATCTTGAATTTGTTAAAAATATGGGGCTGATCAGTATACACATCACTCCAAAGAAGTTAGGGTTGAGAGATAAGGTGAATATCTCACTTTCTAAGCCACCAGCTCATACACCAATTAGCAAAATGCCCACTTCACCTCATAAGACTCCTAATAGAGTATTTCAGGATGAGAATAATTGAGAGCCAGACCTCTTCGCTCAGAATAATGTGAGAGAAGAGAATAGTAATGATTCTAAACAAGACTGGAATGATGTGAGCTTCTGCCGCCCAGAAGGTGAATGCTCAGAAGAAGAGGTTAATGAAGGCCAATGACATTACAAAACTGATAGAAAGAAGAGGTCTAGTAGCCAAATCACTATTAAGAAACCTCAAGGGATGGGCAGAATTAAACCGAATAACAGACCAAGCGAGTTTATAAAGAGAAACGAATTTGATTTAAGTAATAAAAATGACCCTCTTGAGAGGAAGGGTGGTGCCACGATAAGAAGTGTAATCGAGGAATCGTTCGGCAAAATTAGTGGATCAGACACCCTCTCACATGCTTTTGATAACAGCATATTTACAACTACTAAGAAGAAGGACAAGAAGCAAAAAGGGAAAAATATTAAAGATCGTTACATCAGAAATAGAAACCTTGATAATGGAAAGAAGACTCCTACTGACTACTTATTCCAAGAGCCTGCTAGGAACTTATACAAAGATCTGAATGAAGCTGATAGAATAAACAAATTGGGTTGCTCAGCTTCAGAATCATGAATTTCTGCATCTGATCACTCAATGATTAGCAGTGTCTCTTCAGTACCTAACTTCTGAGAGAAGGACATAGTGAAAAATGACACTGAGAAATTAGAATTTATTAATAAGTACCAGCAAGCAAAAGAAAGGGAAAAGAAATACAGAAAGGAGCTAAAGGTCTTAAAGCTTGAAAAGAAGCAGCTCTTGATCAAGAATGAGGATGTAGACCAGCATTTACAAGATGAATCCCATAAAATCATTGAGAAGGCTATGGTGAAAATTCAAGATAAAATAGACAAATCAGGTGGTAAACCCAAGATGAACAAGCTTTTATCAAAGGTGTTGATAATCCCCTTGCTCAAGCTCTGAATGGCTGAGGAGGATAAGACCACTATGCTGGCAGATCTTATAAGAAATGGCCAGAATGATGGAACTGCTTCAGCTCTGTCTCTAACCCCAACAAAATCAGTTAGGAGTACGAAAGAGAGTGGAAAATCAAAGAACGATATCGAGAAACTTCAAAAGAAAATCAAGCAGCTTGAGACTGAAAACAAGGCACTAAGGTTTGATGCAACAGAAAGCTCCAGACTCTTTGAAGAGCAGACTAGTAGTCTTGCAGATGAGCGTAAATAAAGTTAAGAAAGTCCAAAAACAATTAGATTCTATCAATCAAGAAGATAAGAAAGAGAAGGAAGGAATCAATTCCAAAATTAGTAATTACAAAACAAGGATTTTCTTCTTAGAATCTCAGGTTGAAGAACTTGAGAAGAAGAACAAACAATTTGAGACCATTAGAAAGCAAGACAAGTTGTAAGCCCTACTTTCTAGTATAGTACTTATGCTTTATATAGGCAAGGTAAAGACCAGATCTCAAAAGTCATTGAAGAAAAAGAAGCTGTTGAGAAGAAACTTCATAATCTCAGAGAGAAGTTTGAAGATCTTTTAGATAACGAAAGTTCCTTAAAAGAAGAGATGAAGTCCAAAGATGATTCTATATCGCATCTTAACATTAAGATCCAAGACCTTGAGACTAAGTTAGTCGAGCTGAAGACTGAACTGGCTGATAAAATGTATGAACTTGAGATGCGTTAACTAATACTTAATTGTATGATACCTAATTAACCCAATTTTCTCAGATGGTATGGGGTTTTGGGGTTTTGGGGTTTTGGGGTTTTGGGGTTTTGGGG